CTACTACCTAACTCCACCAAAATCCGAGAAGGGTCCATTCCTGTCCACTGCCTTTGATCTGGAGTAATTTTCTCGTTTCGGAATCCATTTTTTTCCCAGTGGACTTGATTATTTATTCAAGGCAACGCTGTGTTCCCGATCAAAGTCTCTTTACCCCCTGTTTGGATGGACAGTGTCTTTAAGGAAATCTTATCTCACATATGATGCCGAACCATATCAGGTTGTCTTCTGAATCGTATTTATAGGTGCATTTTGGCAACACGGTCTTTTTGGAACCCATAGAAGGCGTGGATGCTTCGTTAGAACGTCGATGCAAGCTGAAATGTTTAGTGTGCAGGTTAGATCTTCTTTTGGCAGTATCTGAGCATATCCACACAATGTGCGTTCATACTTTCGTGAGAAACTATACGCATAATTTCAGGAAGAAGATGGGTGCATGTTTGCAATGTTCGACTCGTAGTTGTCTGAAAGCTTTTCACGTCACATGCGCACAACAATCGGGAATGGCGATGCAAATCAAGACGAACCCAGACCCTGAAAGCTCTGATCTCGTAGATGTCCAGGTATGGCAATGTATCTAATTCTTGCTCGAGCTATATAGTACCTCCATGCATATTTTCACGAGTATATGATAATTGATAATTGTTTTTTGGCTGATCATTTTTTGTTCGACATGTAGCACATTTTTAGCGATTTGTCTACTGCCATCTTCATGCTGATGACGATGGATGTGACCCACTCACTCGCAAAAAACGTATGGATGAGGCAATCCGTCGTGCTCGTCGAAGTATGGCGGCAAAGACAAGCAGGACACCTACTGTAAAGTAAGCTGTTGGCGAATTGTATATTGATTTCTTGGTGTATAATCTTACTCTTCAGTATGCCAACTATATCCTCTGAAGCTATTGAGAGTATCAAGAAGCAAGTAGGCTCCGTTGTTAGCGATATTGTGCAGTACTGGTATCTCAAAAGGCGAAGTCGCTGTGGTGTTCCGCTTATACGACGGTTGCAGGTAATTTGAATTCATCTCTCTTCACCGTAGGAGCGTTTTCGCTCCCTTTTGATGTCGACTTTTACAACAACAAAATCTGTTTTAGCTCAACCAGAAAGTGTCTCGGCCGTCCAATTTCTTTGCTTCTGAACTTGATCAGGAGGAGCAAACGATCTACCAGCAGTTTGCGCTCAAGAGAATGAGTTTGGAAACCACCCGGTTGCTATGCGAACAAGTTAAGAAGCGAGAAAGTCACAAGAGAAGCCATGTATGTAACTCTTTCAAAATGATGTCCTTTCTCTACTTTACATTTCATATTTTACAGCGGAAAGTCTCCTCTCTGCTTACCTCCGCATTGCTCAAGCCTATTCCCCTCGTGCTTGAAGATATACTTGATCGGCTTTTGGAGAAGGATAAGGACAAGGTAGGGGTCCCATTCTTAACCGTTATTTTACTTTTGAGTTTTTTTCTTGAAGGTGTTTGCCAATCCCGTCACTTTGGAAGGGTATAAGGACTACATCAAACATCCTATGGATCTATCCACGATGAGAAAGAAAGCGGAAAAGGGCAAGTATGGTAAGTGTAGCTGTTATATTGAATTCGGTCTTATGTAGGTACTTTTTGTGCTCGCTTGGCTTGTCTCCTGCGCGTAATCAAGGTTTTTATGTGAAGATATCTGCAAAGTGAAAATCTTTTTTCATATAACCATAGAATTATCCGATGCTAAACATGTATGATACACTGATCAACTTGCTAAGGGCCCATCTTTTTATAAAGCTTGATTTTGCTCCTGCTTTTTTTACTGATTGTCCACCAATTCAGATTCGATAGCCGCTTTGCGGACCGATGTTCTTCTGATGACAGATAACTGCGAAAAGTTCAACGTGGAGAACCCCTACTTCTTGCAGTATGGTCGCAAGTTTCGAAAAGTAGCTCTCCAACTCCTCGACAAAGAAGAGACCAGAGAGCGAACATTGGACAAAGTTAGTTGACAGCTTCATCTATTGAGATTTCTAGATTTTTTGTTCTCCTATATACAACCCGCAAACTATATGTGCCTCCGATATCATTTTTGAACTGTACTTGTAGTATTTTTATGCGTCTATCGACTACTCATCTTGGCTATTAACAGAATTACATTGGTCTGCTTTGACCATCCTTTTTGCATCTGTAATGAGCGAATTTGGATCATCACTCGTTTCTGTCGCTTTGGCTTTTATAAATCCAACTTTCTAAGCGCATATGGACGTACTTTTTGCGAAAGAGAACCATTTCACTGCGGTTTAGCAGGCTTTTACGTCCCTGTTTAATTTTTGTAATATTCTCAAGGCTTCCGGTGTTTTGCTATGGAAAAATTGAGATATCCGTTCTTCTAAGATGTTTTTGAAATTGAATTCAAATCGCCGGTTCTTTTAGCTTGAAGTCGTCAACTAGGTGATAGTTAGTGTCATTTGTGTTGTAAACTTTGATGAATTTATTTTCTCTTGATATTTCTAGAATACTCATACATTTGCAGCTGCTCTCTTGCGGAACAGAAGGTTCAATACTTTCTGAA